AACCGCCACAAGCGGTCGTGAGAGGTTCAGCTGCGAGGTAAATGCATAAACTTATAGGAAAAGTTTGCGGCACCGACGTGCCGGATTCCGCCGGTTGATTTTAATTACGCGTTAATCGGCCGTATCTCAAGGTGGCTTCATAACGCCGTCGCGCTGGAAGGATGCTGTGCTGAAAGCCTTTATACGGCAGTAAATATTTATTGCGACTCGCGACAGTCGTACAGGGGAAGAAGGCGGGGCGATAGGGGCCGTAATCGCGCATCCTGACGCACCCGTCACCGATGCTTGCATTTTATTCAAACGTTTTTATTTTAGCGCTTCTCGGCATCTCGAGCTTCTCGGCGCACTTATATCATTAAATCTAAATTGAAATCTGGACGTCGAGTCGTCTAGAAATAATATTATGGATACGGTTCTAATTTATCGACTAGATGTAACGCGCGGAATTATTTTAGGAGTTACTTGTAGATCGAACACATCCAACACTTGTCATCTATTGGAATTTACGCTGGAGGTTCTGCAGAAATGTTAAAAGTCCCGTACGACCAATTTACGATCAACGTGACATACTATCTTTATGACACTCGACTTGTTATTGCAAAACTGTACTCCTAAATTTACATAACATCGCAATATTTGATAACAATTCAAAATAATATAGAAATATATACAGATAATATTTCCCACTTTTATTTTTAACAATTTATATTAAAAACGTGCCAGAAAACAGTTTTATTTAATTATATTTAATTTTGAAACATTGTAAAAAATTATTCCAATAAATTTTATCATTTTTCTATTTTCTTACTAATAAATTGTATATATTATTTAATTAATTTTTAATTCTATTTTTTAAATTGTTATTGTACGGCAAAAAGTTTTTTCCGTTTCATGCGATGCCATCTAAGATACTTCTAATATAAACAGATCTTTACTTTTTAATTGACTGCAAGATATATACCTAGATGCACTTTGCATAATTAGGTGCTTCCAGTTTCTTTCATCAGTCTTAATCGATCGTAAACTGCCAAGACTTCGTGATAAAATAATCTGGAATCGATGACGCGTAAATGCGTGCGTGCACTTTGCATGCACTTCGAAATACCTGAATGATAATCGCAATCCGCTTCGCAAAACACAGTAATATCGAATATCGAAAATCGGCGGAATTAATGTCGTGACATCCTGATTCGAAATAAAAGGAATGAGATGAGATTTATCAATCATATTGCATTTCCATATTGGAATTATCCTCACGATTGAGTTTCCTTCACTTATTTGTCAAATTATTCTATATGTTGCACAAAATGGTTAAACAAAAGAAATTTCAAATTATCAAGTACCAGATATTCATTTTCTCATTTTGCAAAAAATTTTGTCATCAAAAATTTTAATTAGTACTTTCAACTGTTTAAACACATAAAATTGTTTCCGTGCCAAATATACTTATTTGAGAAATATACTTATTTACATTTTCAAAATTATACATAAATTGATATAAAAATTATTGTTACAACAATTTGCATAGTTAGTTAATTAACATTAAAGTGTTTACTAAAATGATTAATTGAAAATCTAATATTGAAAACCAATTCTCTCACATTAATCTTCAAACATGTAGATTTAAAATTTGATTATTTAATAACAAAAAATTACAGAATTATATATTTCATTGTTTCAAAATAATATATAATATTTGTAGACGCACACAAATGCACAAAAGAATTTGTAGAAAAGTGTGGCATTAATATCACGATTATTCTGACTCAAATAGCTTTCAAATTGTCGCCGTTTTAAGATTAGTCTCGTTATTAACACAATGGAAGCTTTCGATCGCACTTATCAGTAATAATAAATCGCTCTTCGTCTGCCGAAAGCGGACATGAATAGATTCGATAGATCGACGAACGATATCGCGGAAACCTAATTAGGTAGACATGTCTATTTACACGACGATGTCGATGTCAGAATGAACGACAAATCGAATTATCATGTTTAAAAATGCGTCTTCCTTCCGGTGATAAACGCGCCAGTCGAAAGCTCTCGAAAGCTTTAATCAGCGTGTCGCTGTAATTATCAATGTGCTTTTATTTTTTAATGAGATTTCTCGATCGCATCGGTTGTTTGATTAGACGGTTAACGATATTTCGTCAACTAGAAGCTGATCTCGATATTTATTTATACCATCGCTAATTAGCAAATAATTCACAAGTGAAACCTATTTGCGCATTAAATTCATTTGTGATATTTTAACATAATTTTATATTTTAACATACATTTATTTTAAAACATGGAAAAGCGTAACTTTACATTTGCTCAATTTAACACTGTTTTGTTTTATCAATCGTGTCTTTTATTCATATAAAATAACTTCAACTTTTCACGAATGTGTCTTGCTTGCAATTGGTAACTTAGAGAGTACTGCAGATCTCATAAGAAACACGTACAGAAATATAAATTCGGGAATCGAGGAAAAATATTACTTCCCGACACAAATTCCATAGAGCGTACAAAAATAAACGTTCTGCTGAGCGTTTGCACCTGCTGCTATTTTCCGACGATAAGACGCCTAGTGACGTCTTTTCGAAAAATAAAGAAAGCATACAATCTTTATGAGCAATTCAAAATTTCGAATCGCTCCTAAAGAATTTGTTTCAGTCCCTGTTTAATTATCTGTAATTTTATTGTTGAGCGTTCAATAAAATAATTTTAAAAGTATATAAAATATTTAAAAAATTATATCTAAAATTATATCTCGAGTGAAGAAGTAGGTATGTGATGACAGATGAAGGATACGTGATAATAAGACAAATAAATTTCTAATTTTTCAACTTTTTTTTCGTTTAAACTCAACTTGAGCGATTGGCTCGTTTATTTTGACAAAAAACGACCCGATGGTGCCCGGAGCCACGAGCTGATAGCAACAAATGTTTCACGTCGACAGCGCAAAGACACGAGCACCCCTCACTCTCACAAATCTTGACCCTCAAGGGTCGACTTGTAAAAATAGACGGAGGAACTCGCGATGTTCTCTCTCGCGGTTTTCAGAAAAAAAAGAGGCGGGTTATTTGCGTATTGAAGTAGCATTCTTAGAGTAAAAAAAAGTAATTTAATACTTTGCGATCTTATAATATAAAAATTAGTGGGCCTGGCAATTTGGAGTTTACATTTATCGCTACCTAATTCGTCATGTGCTTGCTTTATCCTTTAGAATCTTCTACATAAGAAAAAAATGGTCTAGAATCTTAAAATGCACATGTTACATTCTAATATTACAAAAATTATACACATCTTTATTTTGTATAGCACTTAGTCGAATATCTGTATAATTTATACAATTTCTATACATTAATATTAGAATGATTTAATAAAAAAAATTTTTGATTTAAAACAAATTCTTTTGATCATTTGAGTTGACGATTATTGCCATTACGTCCTTAGAATTAAACTATTAATAAATGTCATTGATTAGCTGACGATGACTTTTAAATTCCTGCTCACAAAGTGGAATATTTACTGATTGCGACGGTAGTAAGCAGGGTCGGAAATGATATAATTTGTTTCCGGGCTGCAAATGCGCACGAAACGTTTGCAGTACAAACACGGACGCTATTTGACGAGCCGGACTGGATGCATTACAGTGTTTTAATATTTTACGTTTTAATAAAATGCTTTAATATTAAAGCTTATCCCCGTATGCAGCATAATGGGAATTTCATTGAAAATTAGGTATTTCGTTAATTGGATGATTCCGCCGTGATTTCCTCTGGCAGACGCGGACATTATTCGATATAGTGTCTATAACTGCGTTTGTAATTTTCGCGCTGTGTCCGAATTGCAGACTCATTATGGCACTTTTATGTCACGATAAATAAAAGCATGCGATATAACTCACAGTGATCAAAAGA